TATTACAAGTTATATAGGGCAAGTTTTAAAACATAGTACATTGTAATTAGGAAAAAGTACCGATCACCCTCTTAAACTATAGCAGTTGACTAAATTACCCCTTAAACTCAAAAACCAGACATCGTTCACCCTCAACTATTCATACCGAATGAATAATCCCCTAAGCATCGTCTTGGATGGTTTTAACTTGAGCTTACGTACGTGGCCGCCAACATGGCATCCAATCAGCAAAAAAAATTTTAAAAAATATCTAGGCCCACATGTCACCTCTTTTCTCAAGCAAGGCGTCCCTAATCCCCATTCCCCCTACTTCCTGCTCTCTCTCTTTCATGATGTCATTGACTGGAGAAGGACGACAGAGAGGGACCTCACTCGAGGAGACGACAATGACGGAGGTGAATCGACATGAGCTCAGCCAGGCGCGCGGAGGTCCTCCTCGTAGTCCTTCTCAGCCTCCTCATCATACTCGTACATCTCGGCATCTGAGTGCGGCAGCGGAGGTGACATGACCTCCACGGCAACCACTACCTCGCTGCCACCATCTCCGGCGACCACCACCTCGTCGACGGCAGTGGTGGATACAATAGCGCTTGCTTCACCCTATTTGTCAGCGCGCTGTCTAGCCCCGCCCGTGATGCCCTCTTCCCAGCGGCGAAGGTGCAACGGTAGAGGCAGCCATGTGTGGAACGGGGAGTGGGAGCGGCTCCAGTAGTGCACGGACCAACACCGGAGGTGGCCACCACGCTTGTCCTCCCCAACGATGTCCCACGCCGACGAGCTCATCCCCAACAGCCAGATCCGACCAATGCGGCTCCCGTGCCATCGTCGCCTCCGCGGTCACCGCCCTCGCCGCCGGTCACGCTGCTCTCGCCTCTGCCTCCATGCTGGGAACGCTCGTGCCCCTCCTCTAGGGCGAGCGTGTGCGGGAGAGCGGGCCAGTCGCTGCTACCACACGCTTCAGAAGGGGAGGGAGGAGAGAGAAATGGGGGTGGGGACTCTAACAAGTGAGCCCTAGTTTTTTTTAAAAAAAATGTTTGCTGTGACTGGACGGCCACAAGTGCTATTCGAACCCTAAACCATTCTCAACAGTGCTGTGGGGGGAGGGGGTTGTTCGGTATTAAAAATTCAGAGTGAACGATGTCTGGTTTTCGAGTTTAGGGGGTAATTTGGTCGACCGCTATAGTTCAGGGTAATTCGTATCTTTTTCTTGTAATTATAATGTAAGTTTTAAAAATTACATTGTAACTGCAGTGTAAGTTTTGAAAAATATAGCGTAAACCCTTGTATTACATTGTAAGAAAAATCTTATTATATTTTGTTAAAAATATGACGCCATAAAAATATATAGTACCAAAAATTAACATAAAAACTGATAACTGTTCACCTTTTTAAGTTGAGTTTTTTTATCATCAATTATCGATGTGGCACTGAAACAAATAAAATATGTGTATATATATGTTAGTATAAATTTAACACGGGAACTGGTAATTCTCAAAATAGACGGTTTCATGATTATTCTCATATATTGAACATGACGATTGTACCTTGTCCGGCCAAAAAGAGTAGATAGAAAAACCAAACTAGATCATTTCCATCTGGTCTGGGCCTTTATACCTCTTTCGGTTGATCTTTGTCTTGCTTCTACGCAAGGGAAAGCTCACGGCGCCCAAAATGATGAAAGCCACGTCACACGCAAAACGCCGGCATCGATCGCATAGATTGGGAAAGCTCCATGCATATATGTACTGTTCGAAGCTTAGAAAATTCCATCCCGTCAGCACGGCCACGAAAAGGAGAAGTGGAGTGAGAGTGGTGCATATTCCGAATGAGACCCTCTCTAAGCCACTAATTTTAGAGGTGCATTTCTCTCAAAAAAAAAATTAGAGGTGCATTTGCATCTCAACTTTTTCAACTCGAAGATTCTTTATGTGTTATGATTTTCATTGTCCTGATCAAAGAGTTATATAAGAACATTTTCACAATATGCTAACTCGTGTTTTCAATGTAGCATATGTACAAAAAGAATTACAATGCACACTTTCACAAAATTGGAACTGGCCTATGCTTGCATTCTTTATGGTCCCATCTGATCTCCCGGAACAAGATAATAATGAATTTAGGATCGATGACGTAGGATTTTCTCATTATATTTGTGAAATATCTCTTCTCTACTACTTAAAAAATAAGAGGTGCTTCCATCGTCCGTAAAAAAGACCGGGCAAAAAACCGGCGAAAAAAACAAAATTTATCCAATAAAAAACCGGGTAAAGAAAAACGTGTGCGAAAAAAGAAAAGAAAAACCGATCCAAAGAAAAAGCGGTAAAAGGAATCCGATCCAAAAAAGGGGCAAAAAAAATGGACGAAAAAACAAATCTGTCTGATCCAAAAAAAGGGAAAAAAGGAAAAAAAATTGAAACGAATCCGACTTTGTTGACGCGGTAAAAAAAGGGCAAAAAGATAATTAAAAAACCGTCCAATTCAAAAGAAAAAGGAACTATATATGACACGGTAAAAAAATTCGACCGGGCAAAAAAAAACTAGCGAAAAAACTGGGCAAAAAAACAGGAAAAAAAAAGTCCGATAAAAAAAACAGGGAGAAAAAAAACCGGGTGGAAAAAAAAATCTGTCCGATAAAAAAAAGGGCAAAAAAGGAAAAAAAAAGTGCTTCTGTCATCCGTCAAAAAACAGGGTGAAAAAAACCGAGCGAAAAAAAGTCCGATCAAAAAAGGGCGAAAAAAACAAATCTGTCCGATAAAAAAAACAAGGTGAAAAAGGGAAAAAATCGAAACAATCCGACTCCAATGCAGTAAAAAAAGGGCGAAAAAAATTAATAAAAAAACTGTCCGATTCCAAATTATATATGATACGGTAAAAAAAATCGACCGGGCGAAAAAAACCAGGTGAAAAAAAGAAAAAAATTTCTGATAAAAAAACGGGGCGAAAAAAAATCTGTACTATCCAAAAAAAGGAAAAAAATCGAAACGAATCCGACTCCATTGACGCGGAAAAAAAAGGGCCAAAAAAATAATTAAAAACTGTCCAATTCCGAGAAAAAGAAATTATATGTGACGCGGTAAAAAAAATCCTATTTTATCTAGAAAGGTCCGATATTATAAGAAAGTGGTGAAAAAAACGGTTCGAAAAAAAATACACAAGAAAAAAAAATAAAAAGGGCGGAAAAAAGTGCGGCGGAAAAAGTCTAATTTCTATGCGTCGTTTTAGTAGTCCGTTTATATATCTTCTTTATCTCTAATCTAATCTAATCTAATTTAACTATTTAAAAGAGAAGTTTCTACCGTGTATTAAAAAGGAAAAAATGCCCGAGAAAATAAAAAAGGTTTAAAAAACGTGTGAGGAAAAAATGTCAGAAAAAACGCAAAAGAAAACACGCTAGAAAAAAGTTTCGTAGTTAAAAAAAAACATGCGAGAAAAAAATATTTCCATCGTATGAAAAAAAAGCATACGAGGAAAAAACTGTTAGAAAAAACACTAGATTGATGGACACTTGGTCGGATAGGATCATCGATTTTTTTCCATCTCCTACACGACTTTTGTTTCGTCATCTATTCTCCTGTATTGAAGATCCTGCATATCTTTGTAGGTAATTATCAGACTATTTTTGTGAAGTATAGCTATTATTCTTGATAACATATTATATGGAAATAATATTAGAAAATAAACATATTTTAATTGTTATTTAGAGAAGAGTGCACAGTGACTCTATTTTGTGTAGACTTGACCATACGAGGTAGTGTAGGATTTGATTGGTTGCAAGAATGAGATTAAAAGAATATTTTAGATTATATGTATGTTGTCATATGAATAATCCAATTATTTTAGGTAAAGCAAACATCGTAAGTTTGCCATCATCGAGGTTGGGCTATTACATTTAAGATGTTCCAATTTTCTAATTTTCTGATTGTCATCGATATGGTTATGCATGAAAAACGTATATTATCATTATGTTTTTTCACCCGTCGCAATACACGGGGCTTGTTTGCTAGTCTATATAGAAGTTCAAATAAAGAGATTCGAAAAAATTGGCCACGTTCCAAATGAGGCCCTACAATGAAGCTGTACACATTGTATCATGTAGTAGATTGAGTGTCCATTAGCGCACACCAGTGGATTTTCAAATACTAGTATAATACTACCTTCTTGTCATTTTGATTGTAGCCTTTAAGTTCCGGGATAGATATAAAAGACTCAATTATTGTGGTGCTAAATACAAATATTGACGAGAAATGATGAGTAAAAATCGTATGGAGTTCTCCCTCCATTCTTTTTTTACTTGTCATTTAGAAATTAGGATGTCATAATAAACTAACGAATGCAACTTTTATAAAATTACGAGTTTAGATTTTAATCGTGTAGATTGGTTGCAAACATATCTAGCATAGGAACTATCTAGCATGGGAACTATTATATAAGAAACAAAAAAAATGTAGTTTTTCTAAAAATGTTATATCACATCGCTAAAAAAAAATTGCGTGGAAAAATCGGTTTTGCACTACAAGAGGTTTAAGTGAACATGTACATGAAAACCCCTTTCAGAGTGAAGGTGAAAATAAGCAGATTCAAGAGGGCGTATATGGAAAATTCAATAAAATACGCACAACAAACTTATCCCGAATAGTCACAGTTCCTGCACCACCCACCAGAACCTTCCCGATCAAAAACCTCGTAACACCATTCTTACCTTTCTCGTCTTTACCCACCTCACCTACACCTAACCACCGTGGGCCCGAGACCCCACCATACCAGCGCACACAGTTCCAGGCGCCTTAAGTTGTGCGTTACTCGCGTCGTCCTAGCACTTTTCAGCCACTCTCCACCAACGGCAATGCTAGATCTAGCCATTCACCCCCACCCCCCCCCCCAACACACACAGTCACCCACTCACCTCGACAAATATGGCAATGACTTGTGGGCCCAGATCTACGTGGGCCCCACGTGTCACGGGGGTAAACCCAGCCAGCGTCTGGAAAACATACAGGTAGGGGGGAAAGAGCCGGATCACCACGCCTCGAGCACGAGCTCGTCAACGACTCCGTCGTCTCGTCCACCTCCGAATTCCAAATTTTCCATACCCTTCCTCCCAGTCCTTACACCTCTCGATGCAAAAACCCTAGCGGGGGAAGCACCACCTGCGCAGCCGCAGCGGCCATGGCGGAGCCGGCCCTGCTGGACCCCACCGCCGCCTTCGACCTCCGCCTCTACCCGGCCCACCTCTTCGACCACGAACTCCCTCTCGCCGGCGGCGGCGGCGGCGACGACGACGACGACCTCCCGCTCGACGGGCTCGAGTTCGACCTGCCCGGCGATTTCTCCGTGGAGGACTTCCTCCTCCGGTCTCCGGAGCGGGACGACTCCGGCGAGGGCTCTGCTGCCGGATCCGGGCCCACCGCCTCCCCGTCGTCGTCCCCGACCACCTCGGCGTCCAACTCCGCCGTCGCCAACGGCAGCGGCGGCGAGGTCAAGCACGAGGAGTCGGATGAGGGGAGGAGCGGTGGGGGTGACCCCAAGTGGAGCCTGAAGCGGAAGCAGGCGAGCCCCGGCCCGAGCTCGGACGCGGCCAAGTGCCGCCGATCCGGGGACGGCGACGTTTCTCCGTCGGCGTCGGCGTCGCGGACCGCTGTGGATTCCGACGAGGGGGGGACGGTGTGCGAGGAGGAGGAGGACGAGCGGCGGGCGGCGCGGCTGATGCGGAACCGCGAGAGCGCGCAGCTGTCTCGGCAGAGGAAGAAGCGGTACGTGGAGGAGCTGGAGGAGAAGGTGAAATCGATGCACTCGGTGATTAATGACCTCAATTCTAGGATCTCCTTTGTCGTGGCCGAGAACGCAACACTGCGGCAGCAGCTTAGTGGCGGCAGTGTGAATTGCCCACCACCTGGGGTGTATCCGCCGGCGCCAATTCCCGGCATGCATTTCCCATGGATGCCTGGGTATGCAATGAGACCCCCTGGTTCCCATGTACCTCTTGTGCCAATCCCCCGGTTGAAGCCGCAACAGCCAGTGCCTTCATCCAAAGTAGTGAAGAAACCAGAGAGCAAGAAGACTGTGGAGAACAAGAGTAAGAGCAAGACCAAGACCAAGAAGGTGGCTAGTGTTAGCCTTCTTGGTTTGCTGCTTATTATGCTTGTCTTTGGTGCTTTCATTCCAGGGTTTAATCATAACTTTGGAATGTGTGGGCAGAGTGATAATGCTATGTTTAGGAATTTTGGTCAGTCTCATGCTAGGGTGTTGAGTGTCAGTAGCCAGGATAAAAGTAGTTTGAACAATAGCGACATGATTGGTGTTGATGTTGGAAAGATGACGGGGAATACTGATGGGCCAGGGAAGAAACATCAGCCTGCACACAACTCAAGTGAGATCCTCCCTGCTTTGTTGTATGTGCCGAGGAATGGAAAGCATGTTAAGATCAACGGCAACCTGATTATTCATTCTGTGCTTGCAAGCGAGAAAGCAGTGGCACATAAGGCCTCAAAAGATGATAGTGATCAGTCAGCTAGAGATCACAAAGAGACTAGTGTTGCCATAGCTCGTTATCTTTCGCTGCCTGGAAAGGATGTGAATCGACAGGAGACATCCTCGGCAGATGGACCATTGCCACAATGGTTTCGTGAAGGAATGGAAGGTAAGCAGATTAATATGTTTGCCAATCTTCTATTCTTGTTTTCTGCGAATTTGTGATAGTTCAATTTTTAATTTTGTATTTCGACCAGAGCCATGGTTTGTTTGTCGAATACAAATATTCTTGTGTATGCTACTGAAGCTGTGAAGTTTATTGCCTTTATTATTTACTCAGATATGTAATATGTAAATATAAATACTAACACTATATAGTGGTCCATGTAATTTCTTTTAATACACGGCCATTGCATCCAATATGGTTTGGAATGCAGTCATGAATGCAAGTTTGAAATACAAGTTAAAAAAAGAATGAAGTGACTTCCTGTAGGTCATAGAGAAAGCATGAAGTTAATATGGTTAGACAGGGATTTGCGTTATGTTTACATGCCAACAATAGGACACAATTGTTATTATCTAGGAAATGAAACCCACATTTAAGGTTGTGAAGTAATAATCAGACACTGCAAGTCTGCAACTAATTTGGAAATTGGAATATTATTTATTGAAGGTCCCCTATTAGGCAACATTTTATACACGTCACTCTGACATATGGGTTTTGAGATCACCCAGTTTTGTGAAACTGAAAAATATGCCACCCGAGTTTCTTGTTGCTCTGAATTATGTCATCATATCTCATTTTCAGTTCTTCCCTTGTGTTTTCTTCTCATCTCATCTCTTATTTTCTTTTCAACTGAACTACCAATCTTCCCTTTACCACTTGGGCGATTAAATTGGCACGGGATAAATTTGTGCTGATCCAAACCAGTGAATAGTTGACCCCTAAGCAGAAAGGTACTGCAGCATCCCAACCATTCGTTCTTCGCTGCTCCATCCACTGGCTTGCTACTGCTCTTACTCATTGCCTTCCACGCGAGCTCTCTTCATTGCTGCTCACTCTTTTTTGCCTGAGCGCATGGAAGCATGGATGGATCTTACAGTGGCGGAGGAGAAAGATACAGCTGGGGACAGAGACGGAGGAAGGTGGTTGGCTGGCGGCGGTTAAGTTGAACACTAATGGCTATATTAATAAAATCTTTGTAGTCAATGTGATAACCATGTGTCATAGACTACAAAGAACCTATGTGTTGTTAATCCTTTATCCCATAAATTTCTTTGTGAACTTAACATAACAGCATGGCGTTCTAGATCTCAAGTTTCTGTAACAAAATAAATAAATACAAATTTCAACTTGTATTGGTTATTTTGTAGTGATCCCTGCTTTTGCTCTTGTGACTTAAGTGGGAACTCACTCTTTGCTGAAATTGTGGCAAATTGGCCAGTGCTAAAGCTAGTTCAAACTAATTTACATCCTATTATACCACAATCCTAGAATTATGTTTTTTAGGGCAATCATAGAATTATGCTGTGTTGTTTAAAGCATACTCCTTGGAGTTCCTTTCGCTTTTCTTTCTAAACTTTAAGCTCAACTGAAAGGTTTACTGTACTGGTCAAATATATATTCAGCGGATCCCTAAATGTTCACAAGCTTGTAGTTGCACAAAATCAACAAGTTGGAGTCTTAAGGACGTATATACTTTGTGTTGTTTAGAGTGTTAGACCGATTTCCAAATTGTTGCTATCAGGTATTTCTTTTGAAAAGCTCAATTGTTTATTCCTACTCTGAATTCTGATTGTTATGTAACACAGTTCCTAACTCTATGTTGCTATGCAACAACTTTTGCAGGACCTATATTAAATTCTGGAATGTGCAGTGAGGTATTTCAGTTTGACATTTCGACGGCTTCTAGCAATCCTGGTGGCATTATACCTGCATCTCCTGTTGTGAACTCGTCAAGTGTCAATGCTACCGAGAAAATCCCAGCACATTCTGCTGCTTATCATGGCAAGCTGAAAAACAGAAGAGTCATGTACAATGAAGCGATTCCACTCACCGGGAAGACGGCGAACAACACAGAGCCTTTTAACAGAACCTCTGAAAGCAGCAGCAAGTTACCTGATAGCAAGCCAGCATCATCAGTTGTTGTCTCGGTGCTAGCCGATCCAAGGGAGGCTGGTAATGGGGATGGCGATCCGAGAGTATCTCCGAAACCCCTGTCCAAGATATTTGTTGTTGTTCTTGTTGACGGTGTGAGATATGTCACTTACTCCTGCACGCTTCCTTTCAAGAGCTCCAGCCCACATCTTGTGAACTAAGCGGCTGGGTTGTTCGCCAAAAACTGACAGATGAATAGATTTATACAATGATCTGATGCTGTTTCCTAACCAAGGACTAAACTTCCTATGCACTCAGGCTGAGGTAATTCAAGTTTGTCGAAGGTTCGGAGTGATGAGTGCGAGTTTAGTTAATGTATGCAGTTTTTGCAGTGCTGTGATAATCGGGTTCGTTTGCTGTACCTCTAGCTGTAACGGTGATGTAATCATGTAATACTGTTTGATCGTTGAGATATAAGTGCAACTAGTAATATGGGTAGTCGAGAACACGTGCAGAATATACATGCCTTTTTTTACCTTAGTTTCAATGAATATCATAAACAAAGCTACAGTACATCAGGTTGCTGAAAGGTATTTTTTATGCTTTGATCTGGATACTATTTAGATTATGTTTAGGCTGAATTTGTTAGGAATTTTGTTTGTAATGAATTCAGGAACTAGCTAGAAAGAATTGAGTCTGGTCAACATATCTATGAGAATATCTGTTGTTAACAGCTGTGCGTTGAGCTTGCTAGTCTATCTTTTACAGCACTATCTAATCTAGTATCTACTCGTCTTGTTATTCACAAGGTCTATTCTAAAAAAAGGATATTTAAAATTTCCAACTTACAAGCCTTTGCCTCATAATTTGAATCGTGAATAAAGAAAATAGCCGTTATTAGTTAGGAGTGTTTTTACACTTCTTCCAGAACTGCTAACCGATGCAATTTTTTTAAATAATTCTATACGAAAGTTGATTTAAAATATTGTAGTAATATATTTTTAAGCTTTTTAGCTAATATTTAACTAATTATGTGTTAATTCATCTTTTCATTTACGTGTCAGTGAAAAAGTTCACAAACCCTCCAACCGAACTATTTGGAGGAGCTAAATATTCTGAAAAACAACTATTTAATAGCAGCTTCTAAAAATCTAAAAAACTGTATTTTTTCTAGTTTCTGGTTTATTTTCTGAATTTTATAATTAAAATATGGATGAACAATTGAACTTTGTAGGGAGTTACTAATTCTTGAAAAAAAACTGCCGTTACAGAAAAACTCAAAAGAGATCCTTAAAATGACCCTGAAGAAACCGTCACGCACTGGCTAAAACCCACATTATCCTCAGGCGCAACCGCGCTCTCCGTTCTTCCTTCCACCCCAACTCGCCATGGCGCTCGCCGCCGCCTCCGTCTCAGTTCTCCATCTCCCGGCCATCTCCCTCCCGCTCCCTTGCCTTCAGGGCTCAAACCCTAGCCGTCCCAGCCTCGGCTTGACCAATGCCCTCCCGTGGCGCCGACGCGGTGGGCGCGGGGCGGGGGCGGTGGCGGGGGCGGTGCGCTGCGCGAAGCGCACGGGCAAGCGGCGGTACCCGTCGGAGAAGAAGCGGCTGGATAGGCGACACAAGGAGCTGCTCCGGAAGGCCGCGCCAGAGGAGGGCTCGGCGGGGCGGGAGGCGGGTTACTGGCGGCTCTCCAAGCTCGCCGTCCCTGCCCGCGACGACCCCGGCAAGGACTTCGCTGGTGTCTCCCCGCCGCTCCTCCAAGCCATCGCCAAAGCACTGAAATTCCCGGTACGATAATGCATTGCATTTTTGTAGTAGCTGGTGAAATGCAGTAAAAAATTGCGAGGTTTTAGAATAGCTACACCGTTGATGATACAGAGGATTTTGGGGGCGTGGATTCCCATGAGTCGCTGCTCTGGATGTGTGGAACTGTAGGAAATATTGCCCTAGTTCCTTGTGCGGATAGCTCAATTCTTGATTTGAGCAGCAGGTTGCTAATTTCCTCTTTCAAGTTATGAAATTAAGCCGCGGTTTGCAACTTACTAAACATGCGTACGGCTCTGTCTCTCGAGCATGTTTGAACGTTGTTCGTAACCGTCTATCGAATTATGCATATGGTTCGTGCATTATCTGGCAGGGCTGAGTGTTAGCTGCTTGCAACCTGTTATACAAGTTTCCGATTGCGTCCTGCTGGAGTAATCTCAATATTTAAACTACAACGTTTAGTGATACGCCTTTCCCTTGAACATTGTGACTATGGCTGCTTTTGCATCTTTTGTCCATATTGCTGAGCTCATATTTTATGCTTAGACTTATTCTAAAGTTATGGGCTTCTAAAATCTATTCTGTTCTACTGTAGGTTTCTTCTATGCTCCCTGAAGAGGCCTTCACCGTTATTCGCAAGTCGTTTGATGCACGGAAGGTTCTTTATGGAATGATTCCATCTATATCTTATTTAGTATTTGTTATCCTGCAAAGAGACGAGATTGCGGCTTGGTTGTTAACTGTAACACAGATGCTTGATGTTGAAGCTGCTAAATAGTGCACCCAAATCGGATTAACATTAACACAACCGGGAAGAAACCCAATGTAGTAACCTTCATTTCAGATCTCCATTAACATGTCATCCTTCTGTTGATGTGTCCGTCCTAACACACAGGGTAACCTTTATTTGCATCCCAAGTTTGCAATAGTTCCAGATGGCCCTGTAATGGCTCATCTGAGGGTTTAAGGAAGAAAACATGAAGTAGTGAAGAATTTGACTATTTTTGTGCTACCTGGTATTTTGCTTAGAATACTGGTCTTCTTTACTAGATCCTTTTGTCTTGATGTCTTGCAGCAAAGTATATTATTGTTTTGTTTCCTTTGCTTGGTTGTTCTTCATTCCGAGAGTGTTATTTCAGGTTTTGCAGACTAGGATGAAGTCATGATGCTCTGCATCTACTTGTGGATTTGTAGTCAACACTAATTTATGCATTTTGGTTTACATCTTTCATCTCTGTTTCTGACTTTGCACTATTTTTTTTTTTGTTCTGTAGGCATTTTTCTGAATTAAACACATCTTTGTTTATGTGGACTTTACCTTATTTCAGTGACTGGTTTTTTAGCGTGATTATACAATTGTAGTTATGCCATATAAAAGTTAATTGTAATACTTTTCCTTTCTACAAGGCTCTGTGTTATACCGATTGCAATTTGCTTCACCTGTGTTGCATTCATGTGTCAGTGTTGGTTCTACTGCGTTGATAATTGTTTATATCATTTATATGCTGATTAGTTTATCACTTGCACAATTTCTTTGTGACTAAAGAAATCATGTTTAACATGGCAGATTTTGAAAGAACCTCAATTTGTTTATACCGTTGATGTGGCTGTTAAGAGACTTCTGGATTTGGAGCCGAGAACGTGGGATTTTATTGCTAGATTGGAACCAAAGCTTGGAACAATAGAATACATGCCTGATGAGAAAGTAGCATCTGATCTGGTCAGTATGCTTAATGTTTATAAGCAAGGTTCTGATGGTGAACTGGGAATCAATGATACTGTCAATAATGGCTCTATCTGTAGTCCGCGAAAGAAACCAAGGGTGGCAGTTGTAGGAAGTGGGCCATCAGGCTTGTTTGCCTCCCTTGTTCTAGGTGAACTTGGTGCAGAAGTTACCTTAATAGAGCGTGGTCAACCTGTTGAACAAAGGGGGCGTGATATTGGTGCCTTAGTAGTTAGACGAATTCTCCATTCAGAAAGCAACTTTTGCTTTGGAGAGGTATACTACTCGTTCCTATTTTGCTTACAGGACTTCACCAAATACATGTCAGAATTGTCTTGAGATATGTTCGAATAGGTATTTTGTTGACAATGGATTGAGGCATTTAACAGCTCGACATATATCTTTTGATAAACATATAAAGTAGCTATATGTCCATTTGGCTACTATTATGGCCAGGTGGCCACATGAAGTGATTTCATACTATGGCAGTTGGTGCATTTATACCAATTACTTGACCTGAAAGAAGCATACATGTCTAGACGTTATATGCATCTGAAATAATGTAAGGATGCTTTAAATCTATTGAATGATCATGCTATTTTGAAAACTGTTGTGCCATAATCTTCATATATTATCACCATTTTGTCCATCTGTTTTCATATCATTTACCATGTATAAATTAACAATTTAAAATTGAACTTATACACTGTACAGTATGCTCAAGTCGTGAACTCCCTACTCGATTACTCCCACCAGTCACAAATATCTGGCGTTTAGGATAAGATTTGGTCAAACTTTTGAAACTCCGACCATCAATAATTTCTCGAATACTTAGTTTTTAAGAAACGATTGCATATATTTGCCCTGAAAAGTACTATCATAATATCATAAACTTATTAGATTTTATAAACTTATTCTAATATAAAATTGATGGTTAGAGTTCTAAAAATTTAACCGAATCTCGTTCTAAATGTCAAATATTTATGACAGGGGAGAGTATTTGGTTCTGTCTTGCTAGTTCAACTACCCATTAGCGAAGAATTGCTCAAACTACTTGCCCCTTGTTCAATATTCATCCAAAGATTGAGCCCATCAATTCTTGATCTTCTGTTCTTAATCATAGCAGGGTGGTGCAGGTACATGGAGTGATGGGAAACTTGTGACCAGGATAGGAAGAAACACTGATGGTGTTCAGGCTGTGAGAATCTTCCTTCTCTACCTTATTCACCGTTTATTGTATAAGTCCAGTTAGATATTCCATTTGCTTATCGATGCATTACTTTCCATTGATGTTTTTGGACTGTTAAAATTTTCCTGCTCCATGTCAACAAATATTTAGCATATAAGTATGCTGTGAGCCATACTCCCTCTATCCCAAAAAATGTCCAATCCTAGAGATGTATCTGGACATACGTGTTGTCCAAATACATCTCTAGAATTGGGTTTTTTGTTTTTGGGGCAGAGGAGTAGGTATTACTTTTTTTTTTCTGAATGAAGCAATTTAAAATAAAATTTGCAAACTCCCATAGAATTATTTTAATGAAACAATTAAAAATAAAAATCAGGAACCTCTTAGAAATTGTTTTGGTTACTTATTGATTCAAGCATTAGCATCTAGTGCTATCTGGGATCAAGATCCTAAGGTCAGCAAGTTACTGTTGATTACTTGAGTTTGTGCTTGTGTATTTTAAGTTATCGGTCTGTGGTTTTGGATTTCAGGTTATGAAAACATTTGTTCAATTTGGAGGTCCTCCAAATATACTAGTTGATGGGAAACCTCACTTGGGTACAGATAAACTTGTTCCTCTGCTGCGGAACTTCAGGCATCACTTAAAAGAGTTGGGTGTGAGTGCAACATATGTTTCTAAGCGTCGTTGTTCTTTTGTTCTGGAAGCGCCCCATGGATTGATGTGTTTATTTTCCGTTTACAGGTTAACATAATATTTAATACTAGAGTAGATGATCTTGTAGTGGAAGGTGGGCAAGTAAAAGGAGTTGTCGTGTCTGACTCAAGACTGCAGCTAGGTTCTCCCAACCAGACACTATCATTTGATGCAGTTGTATTGGCAGTTGGTCACTCAGCTCGTGACACATACAGTATGCTTCTGAGGCATAATGTAGATATGCACCCAAAGAGTTTTGCTGTAAGTCTTCTTATGCTAGGTGGTTCCTATTTCCTACTTTGGTTATGCTTAAGCTGATTGTTACATGAAAACTAGCCATACGGAGGAATTTAAGGCCATGTTTGTGTTGGGTATTGGAGGTAAAATATTCATTAGGCTCTGAACCAAATAGAAACATAGGCACCGAGCAGAGTTTGTTCACTTAGTTTATCAAATCCATAAACCCTATGAGTCAGAGAAAACCAGTACATGTCATGTAGTAAAAACTTATAAATTGTTTTAAGATTTTGAAATGACATTGCAATACTTCCTATTTTTCTACGTCAATAATATATTGGTGAGTTGGTAACATTCTTAAAAACATTGATATCCTATTTCACAGTGCAAACATAACTTTGACAAGATGCATGGACGATTAAATAATATGGTCAACATAAACTAGCTGAGTTAGGATGATGTTTTGAACTGGTTAATGTACATTCATTATCAAACTGGGGCCTAAAATAGGACTTGTATTGTATGGACACTGAAATGCAGAGTGGTTACGCTTTGAATTTCTATGCTTTATGCTTTCATATGTTGCTCACTTTATCTTTTCAACCACTAGTTCTTATTCCATGAAAAAACAATAGTAAAATACTTTCTTCTTCAGTCCATGTGGCTTAAACAATTAAACATAGGTTGTTCTTACAGGTTGGCTTAAGAATCGAGCACCCCCAAGAACTGATAAACGACATTCAAGTAAGACATATTTCCTTTTTGTTGACACAAATGTTATTCTGAACGATACTCAATGTGATTAACTTTATTCCTTACATTGTTTTTCATTAATTTACTTTTCCTACAATCATAAAATTGAACTTAAGTTTAGGATGTTCCTCTCTTAGTCTTACTGAGACAGTATTGGCGCAATCCTGTTCTGAACTGTGAAAAACAAAGTGAAACTGCCTGTTATTTCCTTTTGAGTTTTACACTGAAATTGGCAGCTCAAGCAGAAGCTAAGAAATGACCTATTTTGGTGTTCGAATATTTATTCATTTGTTTCTCAAATTGGATACTGAAGCAGCTAGTGAAGTACTGAAGTATATAGCCTCATAATTCAGTTATAAAATGCATGGCACTGAGCTTTGCTTGCAGGGCCAGGGCTTGTATCCAAAAGTGATCTATGACATAGACACCATAAAAATTACCATTTACTGTGTGGTAACAACGATATGTTGTAGTATGTGTAAAAACTTATGTAGAGACCTGTGCAGCTACTGATACCAGGCTCCTTTGATATATGTATCTATCGATAGTTTAACCAACCATGTAAGCACTTGAATAGTTGCCAGTTTGGTACAGCTACAACATACTGTATTTTCATTTTGTATATTATATGGTATGTGTTATTTGCATTCAACTGCAGTACTCTGAATTGGCTGCTGAAGTACATAAAGGGCGTGGGCGGATACCTGTAGCAGATTACAAGATAGTGAAATCTTTTGGTGAAGGAGATGCAGAGCTACCAGAACAAAATCGCAGTTGTTACTCATTTTGCATGTGTCCTGGTGGACAGGTCAGTTGCTCTTTTGTTGTTTCACTCACTCCCTCTTCTAATATAGGAGTACTACTAGTTACTGCAATCCTATTTCTACTGAATTCTAATAATAACGTGTGTTCTGGTTTTTTAAAAAAAAACTCTTGCAGGTTGTTCTAACTAGCACAAACCCATCAGAATTGTGCATCAATGGTATGTCATTCTCAAGGCGTGCATCCAAGTGGGCAAACTCAGCTTTTGTGGCCACTGTGTCATCTCATGACTTTAGGCCATTTGAATCCCATGGTTCTCTTGCAGGCGTTGAATTCCAGGTAATTGTTCCAATCCACGTATAACAACAGGAATTCTTCAACAATTGACTGCACTGACTCTCTGCACAATGTACCTTAAAATTGGAAGGTATTCAATTAGGAGTGGTTCATAGATTTACAGAAGGTATGCAGGATGCTGTAGATAATGTGTAAAAGATAACCATTTGGGCATAATTTTGGTTCACTAATGGTTTGCTTCCTTTACCCTACATTTTGGAATGTGCAGTGCTGCACTCTTTTAGTGCTAGATACAAAATGTTTTCTTTATGTCAAGCAACCAAAGTGCCACAGGTTGCTGTTTGACTTTAGGGCAAATAAGCTAATTGTTCCTCCTTGGACTCATTGTATTGCCCATTTTAGACCCTTGACGGGACTGGCCTAAGCAATTTGAGGAGGAAGTTGTGAGCTGCGATAACTGCATATTCTGTTAGGCACAGCCTGGAGGTGGAGGTAGGCACAGCTAGATAAACGTGTAGGACTGGGATTTGAGATGGTCGTTCTAACCATGCTAACAGTGTAGGGGAAGTCCCAGTAGTTGTAGCAATAAGGTGGTATGGAAGAGGATAATATGAATATGAACTATCATTGTGGATAGTGTGTGAAATTTTGTTTGAGCTTTAATCTAATAGATGAATATTTGAATGGACAGTCACATCAATTAAATAATAAATTTCTTCATGGCGAGATGATTATCTTTTGTTATCGAACTCAAAAAAACAAAAAATATCCAGGTGGACTGACAAATGCATAATTTATCTAAATACTCCTTCCGTCCCAAAATGTATGACGTCATTGACTTTTCGCATAACGTTTAACCGTTCATCTTATTCACAAATTTAGTATAAATGTGAAAAAGTATAAGTTAAGATTATAGTTTCTTTGATGATAAAACAAGTCACAACAAAATAAATGATATTTATATAATTTTTTGAATAAGACAAATGGTCAAACTTTATGCGAAAAGTCAACGATATCATACATTTTGGGACGGAGGGAGTATGACAAATAGATTGGATACGCAGCATGGTAGAGATTGTCGCTTGCGTCAGTCATCACTATGCTGTGTGCACATGTGCCTGCAATCCATTTGCTCATGAATGTGGGATGCCATGTGCTGCCTTTTGCCTAAACCTCTTTTGTTAATGGGCAAAGACAATACTCCTCTTGTATGTAAGATAAAATTCCATTTTAAGTAGTATTTCCCTCATGTTCTTCCTTCCTTGCTTTAGTGTTCAATTCCCAAAAATGCAAATTTAACAAGTATATGTTCATGGAAACAGAGAGAATTTGAAAGAAGAGCAGCTACCATGGGGGGAGGGAATTTCGTTGTTCCTGCACAGTGTGTCACAGATTTTCTCAGTAACAGATTGTCAGGTACTAAGATTTTATTAGGTGGTAAAGATACGGAGTATATACTTTTCTTCTTATTAATTAACTTTATTATCTGTTCCAGTTACAACTCTCCCACCATCAAGCTATAGGCTGGGAGTTCGGCCATCCAAACTCCATGAGCTATTCCCTTCGCACATAACTGAAGTTCTACAACAATCAATAATAATGATTGAGGAAGAGGTTTGACACACACTATTTTTTCTTCTTCTGTGGTTTTAAATACCATCTCTCTGACATTGCAACCCAATATTTTCAGATGCCAGGATTTGTATCTAGTGAGGCATTACTTCATGGTGTCGAGGTATGCAAATTCATATGCAAGCTCGAAATTTTTCATCAGTCTATTTCCATAGAATTTATTGTGGTTCATTCATTAAATCCTGAAACCAATTGTTTAACATCAAAGAGTCTAGTGTTAGTCCAATGACTCCAATCCCACCAATGCCTGAGCATTGGACGGTAGCATTACTTAATCTCAGAGCAACGTGCCCATATGTTTACAAATTTGTCGCTTATGATTTACAGCCAATCTCTTTGGATCTAGCCTACACACTGAATCCTTCTTCTTAGTTAATTTTATTTGGGCAAAGCTTAAGGCGGTAAAGCCATTATATCATAGTTTATGAAATGGAAAAAAGCCTGGCAAGGCAAGGCAATAAAATCCACACTTTATGAGATTGGGAACATTGATTTTTTTAGCTTCCAACTTTCCCTAAAGAGGTCCAATGCTGGTTCGTGGGTCTCCCTGGATGCTCTGATTTCTCTACTTTGAAATAATCACCAATATTTTTTGACATAGCAACTATACCAGGGTTCTAGGCTTTTAGCTACTGGATTCACCCCTAGATTCCCTGACCTATACTTATTGCCATTGTAAAGATACCTCTTATTGAGCTGCATCCACCTTCCACTGAACCTTCTCTTGTGACTTCAGTTATCGCATTTATCTCTATCCCTGAGCTATATTTAACATTGATGTCCTTATCAGTTATCATTTCTTCTCCATATTCGCTATGACTGTACCTACGTTTTTCTTTTCCTGTTGCTACATTGCTCTTAGAATTAATAACCCCTTAAACGGAAAACATTTCCTGTATGGAGTACATTCAGTTTCTTTCCATGTTCACTGTTTTGTGTAAACCATAGTCATGTAGGGTTCCCCTTTTCTTTCCTAAGTTGTGCAGTATCTGCTGCATGAGAAATTAATTATACCGAGTCTCTTCTACTGTGTTGTCGCCCTTCACACCCTGATGACCTGTTGAACTGTTCAATGCACAAGATAATTTCTTAGAAAGCACTCCAATCCTTCACCGTTTCTTTGGACTTCTATTCATGTCACCTACCTTTTAACTATAATTCTATCTTTTCAACTACGATTTACTTTTATTTTATTTATTGCAATTTTCTACCTGTTTCCAGACAAGAACAAGCTCCCCATTGCAAATTTCACGAAATACCGGTACATATGAGAGCACATCACTGCAAGGGCTGTATCCTATTGGGGAAGGTGCTGGCTATGCAGGGGGTATATTAAGTGCTTCTGTGGATGGTATGTATTGTGGTTTTGCTTTAGCCAAACAGCTTTCTCTATTCCATGGCGATATAGAGTCAACTCTTGGCAAAGCACAAAACCAAAAAGGCTTCGTAAAATATTGAGTATGGATGCGTAATTAGTTGATTGTAGGTATCAGATATTGAAAGATAAATTCACCGTGGTAGCAAATTGCCTAGGAAAACTCCTTATGTAGAGAAGTTGTAATGAGTGCAGTCATAGAAAATATTGAGCGAGTATGTACTATGTAAATGACATCAAAGGTGCTATAGGATAATAGGAGTCTATACCATGTCGCTATGTAATAAACTAGTGAAATTTCTAGGCTAGGAATAACAATATAATAATTAACTTAGAGGACGGCATTTTAATCTTGTAGATTATTCAATAATGCTGCCCACAAATTTTATGTGAATGTCTCGAGTGCTTCTTTACGAATAAATATTTTTCTTGATCTTCTACATTTCTCAGCCAGTTCGATTGCACTTTACAGATACCTCATCCCCCAGTTTCATCTGCAGTCTTCTTTATATTTTCGCGAGGTAGATATATATGGTTAGAAATTAACAATACGCGCCCTTTTGGAACTCAGCTATACTAATGCAAACCTCTGTATCTACAATGAGAAATGATTGCTAACATATTTTTATATAGTTAGCAGGATCTGGTTCATATTATTAAAAAATAACCTGTGATCATCCGGACTTCTAATATAATGCTGGCAATAGTGTACATGGTTTTATCTGAGGTAGGCATCAACCTGATATATCTTGACTATCCTGGGCCGTTCCCATCCGAGGTAGGCTTCGATCGTTCAGTTTTTGTTTAATAATTGTCAGTCATCATCTTATTACATATTTACATTGATGAGTAAGTTCCGAATTTTACTGCATTTTGATTGACCAGAATTCTGTCTTCAATATATAAAAACTGGCGCTGAAAGCCCCTATTATTTAATGGAAGGAAACGAGTGTAGTGATATACTATTGGGTAAGCAAAGGACCTCCAACATAAGAGGATATACTTGTTTTTATGCATATATTTTTACTGGTATGGAGTAGAAAATAAACTTTTCTTTATGAGAAGGTGAAAATAGTACATACTTGCATCTACTTTCTCCATCTCATGAAAAAAAAAATTTCTAGTTACAAATCTAGACATAGGTTGTTTCCATATTCGTCAGAAATTACTCTCTCTCTCTCTCTTTTGACGGAGGGTGTATGTGATAGTGTTGACAAAGACGGCCGGCTAGCGATGGCCAGTGTCAACAGCGAGACAAAGGTGTCGTGGCGGATCAGGATCCTTCCACATGTCAGTGACAAAGGCACGGTGCATCAACTACAGATGATCTCTTCCGGAAATACATTCCCATTCCGTCCCTGCCAATTATAACGGGGAACAATTTTTCTATCACCATCCCGTGCGGGAATTGATCCCGTGATCCATCATCTCCAGTTCTCCACTTAAAACAATATCTACATCTCAAATCGCATATATGATGCAATACATACCATCCACACATTAAATCGACATATCAATATATATAATCCACGTGACAAGAACACAAGATTATCATTTATCCACTAATCATAGGTCGATTGGACCTCAAGAATTTAATAATTTGTATTTGGACATGGGTCTTCGTGGGTTACCAGGAGACGGTCATTGCTGCCCCCGCTAAACCTAGTGGGTACTTGTTTTCCCCATTTGATTTTCTACGGAGAACTAATTGCAACCATCTTCATCTTATAATGTACTCCCTTTGTTTAATATTATAAGTCGTTTGAAACTTTGTTAAATTTGACTATGTTTATAGAAAAATTTAGCGACACCTAAAATATTAAATTAGTTTCATTAAACCTAACATGGAGCACGACGGCTGAGAGAGGGGGAGCTCGGCACTAACAGTTGCCTCCCAGTGAAAAAAAACACACCCCCAAAATCTCTAAAAACATCTCTATGGGAGCGTTACATCCGATAGTAGCAGAGGCTGAAGCTCTACATCTTTTACATCGCTTCCTTTCTCATCTCTCTCCCCTGCATTCTCCTGATCATCAACTATGTCATTTCTCTCCCCTGTGCTCACTCCATCGACTGTTTCTAGCTTCTTGTAGGTGTACAGCTTGGCGCAGATGACGAAGTAGACGACGTTGATCACCTGCAGCGTCACCACGAGCCAGTAGTAGCGGTCCAGCCTCCCCCGGTTGAGGTTGTCCTGGAGCCACTCCCCTTCGCCTCTGGTCCTCTCGTGCACCGCCGTCACCAGCAGCGTGCTCATGTAGCTCCCCGCCGACATGGTCAGCCAGTACAGCGCCGCCGCCGTGCTCCGCATGCCCTCGGGCGCCTGGTCGTACAGGAACTCCATGCGGCCGACGTCCATGAACGCGTCGGCCGCGCCGTGGATGGCGTACTGCGGCGCCATCCAGAGCACGCTCATCGGCACGGTGGCGCCGGGCTCGTCGAGGAGGCCGTGGCTCGCCGCGGCGCGCCGCCTCCTCCCCTCGACGGCCGCCGCCACGGCGTTGCTCACGGCGCTGATGGCGAGGCCGACGCCCGTGCGCTGGAGGTGCGTGATCCCGGCGGGGTGCCCCGTGAGGCGGCGCAGCCGGGGCACCAGCGCGCGGTCGTAGAGCGCCAGGGTAGCGAGCATGGCGACGTTGGAGAAGATCAGCATGGACGCCGGCGGTATCTCCAGGCTCGCCGTGACGCGCCGGTCCATGGTGCGCGCCTGCTGGATGGCGAAGCTGTGGTTGTGCGAGGCCGACGTGACCAGCAGGATCCCCGCGGCCCAGATGGGCAGCATGCGGATGATCGACTTGAGCTCCTCCACCCGGTGCACCGTCGACAGCCGCCACGGCCGTGCGCCGCCGCCTCCCTCCATGTCGCCGTCAGTGACAACCGCAGCCCGGTCAAAAAATCTTAAAAAGATAAATCACACACATGCATAGATAATTTAGAGTTGGAGAGTTGATGTGAAACACGGGGACCTACGTGAGCTGGTTGGTGTGGAGCAGCCGGCCGGTGGTGGAGACGCCGGCGTCGAGCTCCTTGTCGTCGTGAAGGAGGCCAGGATCGTCCGGCACGGCCACGTTTCTCTTCCGGAAAGCCGCGACGGCGACCTGGGCCAGCCGCGTCAGCGGGCTGCCACCGGGAGCCATCTTGACGTAGAGCGGGTAGCCCGCCACGAACGCGGTAACCGCGGCGAGCATGGCGATGGTCGGGACGCCGAGCCCCCACCCCCACCCCACGTTCTCCTGGATGTACACCACCGCCGTCACGGCCACCAGCTTGGCGAGCTCAACGCCGAAGAAGTAGAGGTTGAAGAAGCTCCACCTCGGCGCGCCGGCCTCGCCGGGTCGCCGCCGCGGTGGCTTGCCCAGCTCGAACTGGTCGGCGCCGAACGCCATGACGCACGGCCGCGTGCCGCCGGTGCCGACGGACGTGCAGAGCAGAGACAGGTAGAGGACGAGCAGCTGCCACGGGGTCGCGCGCTGGCAAGCTTCCCCTGCCACGGCCACGGCCTCGCCGCGGCACGGCGGCGGGCGCAGCGATGGCACGAGCGCCGACACGGTGAGGCCGACCATGCCGAGCTGGTACGCCACCGAGCCCGCGGCGATGGTCCAGAACCTGCCGGCGAAGGAGTCGGCGATGAGGCCGCCGACGATCGGTGTGAGGTTGGACGCGCCGTGGAAGTTGGTGAGCGTGTTGGACGCCTCCACCAGCGGCAGGTGCATCTCCGCCGTCAGGTACGTGATCAGGTTGGCATTGAACCCGATCGTCGCGAACCGGTCGCAGAAATCGTTCGCTGCACCGCACAAATTAATCTGAGATCTCACCTCAGCATTCATCCACAAGAACAAAATGGGTAGCAACATTGCAAGAAGAACACCTCACCGAGAATGAACGGCATGGTCTTGATGCCGCCCTGCTGCGGCATCTGCTCGCCGGCATCGTCGTTGCTCTCCTCTTCCGACATTGCTGGAATCCGTCAAGCAGAAGCTCTGGAGAGTGGAGATCCCTCGGCGATGAAACAGGGATTTTTTTTCTCTAAGAGAAGATCACGCTTTAACATTTCCTTGGTTAATGCCTCCCCTGATTCCGTTCGTTCTGGTCACATTTCTCTACGCCTGGTCCTTTTTTTTTCTTCAGTTCTTTTGTTTATTGTTAGTTGCTTTGGTTTCAGGAATGGCAGATAGTACTACATCGATTCACATCTCTGGGTGCAGATAAATTTCAAGAAATCAGCATCATAATTGACCTCTTAGCTGTCAGTCCAAGTAGGTTGCTACTACTTGATACTCCCTCTATTTCAAAATATAAGAGATTTTTTTGGATATTATATGTTCTAACTCTTTGTTCATATTCATACTATAATATGTCACATCCACCTAAAATTTTTTATATTTTGGAGCGAAGGGAGTAGCTTCCATCAACATAAAGTCACGGACTAAAACTGAGAGATACTCCATCCATAAAAAAAAATAAATGTGTCGTATCCTAATATGAGGTTGGCTTTTTTAAGACGAAGGGAGTATATTAGAAAGAGGACATATCTGGTGAAAACGAGCTAAGTGTTGCAAATTCGTGAAAATCATACCTAGAAGCTTCGTAAATTCATGAAAAAAAATACTAGATATAGGTGTAGATATGAAATACATTCTCATCAAATCTCAACTCCAAACTCAATTTCGTTTAAGAGAAAAAAAAAGACAAATTTCGAGTGAATAGTGTCATGTTCTATTCACCCAAAATTTATCTTTTTTGTTACTCCTAAATAAAGTTGAGTTTGAACTTGAAATTTGGTGAGAATGTATTTCATATCTACACTTATATGTAGTATTTTTTTCATGAATTTATAAAACTTTTAGATATGATTTTTACGAGTTTTCAACACTTAACTCGTTTTCACCGGATATATCCCCTATTATGATGTAGCTACATGTTCAACAAAGTGGAGCTTCTTAACCCATCTTTCCTGATGACCTACATGATCAGGCGACTGACAACAACAACAAAAAGAAAGGTCCTTCTGATTTTGCTATACGTAGTAGCTATACCTATGCAACCAAATGCGCTAGAATCATTTGAAACAGCAAGCCAGTAATCGTTACCTTCCAGCATTCCAGAGCACCGGGGTTGTGGGAAACGCACTTGTTCTCGCTGTTAGTTGCTCCTACTGGTCGTAGGCTCGTAGTGGTTGAGTCTAGTGGTTGCTAAAACGTGTCAAATCTGGTATTGGCCTCGTCACTTAATTTGGTAGTCAACTCTCCCCCTCCAAGGTATTGCATCGTACGTATTGCTGATACTACGGGTCCAAACTAATATGCGTTATACGTATGGGGGCTGTCATTACACGGTGTCCCATTTTGGACATACCAGCTGAGTAGCAGATATGGGTGGGCAGAAAAAGACCGAACCGAAAGACCGAGACCAAGACCGAAAAAATCGAGACCGAGAAATTTGGTCATCAATTCGGCCCTAGGTAGTGAAAAACCGAATTTTGTTCGGTCAATTCGGTTGGTCTCCTCGGATAACCGAATAGACCAAAAAGATTGAATTATCAAAAAATGTCTAAATACAACCTACAATCCACTATGTTTAATAGGATTAAACTCTAATTTTCACATCCCTACTTCTTCTAGGCATGCAACCTAATAAGAGTCTTTACTCATAAGTGCTTACGAATTTTTTTTGTGATTTTTGTGTTGAAAATTTCCATTATTTCTTTGCATATATGAAAATATTGTTAAATTTTGGTCAGGACCGAGACCGAGACTGAATTTGTCGGTCCTGATATTTTTTCGCTGAAATTCGGTCTTCACTTGTCAAAGACCGAAAGACCGAAGATCGAGACCGAAATTTTCGGTTAGACCGAATGCCCACCCCTAGTAGCAAATGTGGTACCCCATCAATGCCCTACGACATTAGGCATGATGCTCAAGTATCAACCTGATATCTATGAGGTACCATACTTGCTTCATGATGGAGCTGGATCTAAATGAGATCATTATTGTCAGCGCAATACTATTGTCACTAACTCACCACTGCCATTGTGCCTCCTCCTCAACCTCCTTCTCCTGCTTTTCCACTGCCTCCTCCTTCCGCCTCTTCCTTGCAGTCCCTGTCCCTATTCCGGTGCAGCGACGGTTGCCAAGAAATAACTGTAATGCCACGATGACAACAAGGTGAAGGTGATCCTTCTCTCCGTTGGCGCCGCACTAGGTAGTCCCTACCACTTTGCTTCCTACTTCCTAGACACGTGAAATGTCTACAGTGACTAATAATCTGTTATGACGCCGAAAAGATCAAGACTCAGTCTGCGTCATCTCCCTCGCCGTCTTCCAGGAGGCCAACCTTATCCACCTCCACACCCTTATCCTACACTACATCCCTAACATCTCCGGTGCCATCAAGGACTCGCTCAAATCCGCTTGTCCATCGTGCACCCGCCGTCTTGCCACCACCATGACGCTAGCATCCGGAATTAAGGATATCGCTTGTGGATGCAGAGATGGGACCCTGTCCCTTAGCATTTCTGTATACATATACTCCCTCCATTTTCATTTAATTTTAACTAATATTATTACAACTTTAACTAATAAGACATGCACTCTTCCAAAACTATTCTCTCAGGGAAGGATTCATATTTGTAGACCCGTGTAACACACATATGTATTTGTATTTTTCCAATCACATGCAACAAAACGCAGAGTTATTATCTTGAGTGAGGCATGAACCTGTCTAAACTCATTTAACTCATTTTATGGATAGAGTACATCCTAATTACACTCCTATTAATCTCGGTATAACCTAGATTATACCGAATATCATGCACTAGGTTTTCTAGTTTGGAATTAATAAATATGTTGCCGTACCTTACTCTCAGCTTAGTATATTATTAATTTAGTTCCGAAATTTGAAATTAAAATTAAATAGGTTGCCGTACCGTACTCTTCATTTGGTACAAGTCATTAAACTTCGTAAAGTCAACATGACTAAAATTTAATATTTATAATATCAATATCAATAGCATATACTCCCTCCGTTTTACAGTGTAAGACTTTCTAGCATTGCCCACATACATATAAATATTAATGAATCTAAACATACACATATGTCTAGATTTATTAATATCTAAATGAATATGAGCAATGCTAGAAAGTCTTACATTTTGAAACGGAGGAAGTATAATACATGGGTTAGACACTAATGTTTCTTTTTTTTTAATTCGAACATTTTTACGGTACTTGGTACTCCTTCCATCTACTTTTCATAGTTATATTTTATTTGGCACAATGACCAAGGATAAGTAATTCTACTTATCATCCATTTAAACATGATCCTAGTTATTCTTCGTAAACAAGTGATTCATTAATATTTGCATTTCTCAATGCCCATGTAGCCAATCTTATGTTGAAGAATGGAGAGTCACTCATTAAATCCGAGAAAGTCATTAAGAGGATAGGTGGTTGGATTGAAATATACCTATCAAAAGTAATTTTTTCAGATTTGAAATATGTTTATCAAAAGTAGATGGAGAGAGTATTGCTTTTGTGCTTCCAGGGCACCAGAAATATTCTCCTGATCCTCCCCTGTGGTGCTCCATATATAGCACATTTTCTTATAGGCCATGTTTGATTAATTGCTAAGAGGAGAGATTGGAGGAGATTTATTTTATACCTATTATGGTGTAGAATTATTTACTCTCAATCTTCTTCAAACCAAACAAGGCCGTAGTGGATACATTTGGCGGGTTATTCAAAAAAAACATTTGGCGGCGTTCTTGCCTAGGTTTGGGGAAATTTTTGCGTGTTTTTACCATGGAATTTTTTAAATGAAGCAATGCATTTCTTAGGATTTTTTCTTCTCTGGCCAGGCTTTTGCTGTCGCTATAAATGTAACCAAATGAGCATATTATATATATGCAAAAAATAAAGAAAGAAAGAAGGAAAATTCAGCGAAAAGCCTACCAGTAGGAGCATCACTGAGTGCTAATGCGCAGCCGCTTGAATCTAATGATGTTAGGATATATATAGTGGCTTCTATCAACTAGCTAGTGTTGACAACAAATGCCTCTCGATCATCCGTTTTGGAGTGCATGTTAATATTTGAGGCACTGCACACCAACTGTGCTATCCCTGTACCACAATGGACCATTACATGATTGAATGATTGTACCGGCCTAACTGATCAGTGTAGTAGACATTTCTTCGGTTCTGACTTGCTGCACTTTTACTGTGCTTAACCAAAAAAAAAAAGAGTATAATCTTCTGCTGTTCAAGAAACCAGTGGATGAGAACCGGTGAGAGTGAGATAGGTTCAGGGTTTAATTTTAGAGGAATTTGCAAGCTGAGGTTTACTTAATTATTTACGGAATTGTTTTACAGATTATTTGCTCCATGTTTAAAATATATATTATAAGAAAAAAATTTCTATTGTATTATTTAAACGACTTTTTTAAGTTATTTGTTAAATTTATTTATCAAAATATTCAATTTATCCATATAATTAAATAGATAATCGGTAGCAATAATCTACTCAACAATCTGTTTCAAAATCTGGACCAAGATGTGCTTCAGAGAGTAGTATACCTTCCGTTCCAAAATAAGTCTATTTATAGAATTTTTTTTCTAACGTGTGACCATTCATCTTATTTAAAAAACTGTTATGATTATATTTTTATTGCTATTAGATGATTAAATATGAATATTACTTTACGTGTGACTTATTTTTTTATTTTTTTCATAAATTTTTTAAATAAGACATTGTTGATAATTTATCTGTTGTGTTAGACAAAACAACCAAAAAGAACTTATTTTGGGATGAGGGTGTACTTGGTACGTACTGCAGCAGAAATATCTCTGCCTCTCACTCACATATACCCCAATCGGCAACAAATTTAAAGTAAAGGGGTTGACCCTTGCAATTCTTCTCAATCGCCGGAAGTGGCACCTAGAGGCAGGACATGATGCACAGGACCATGTAGCAAGTTACCGGCAACTGACAGAGGAAGCAAGTA